AGGGTCATTTGACAGGCTTGTTCAGAATTATGCTGAAATTATCCAGGTCAATTCTCCATGAATGTTGAACAAATTGGTATTCATATGGGTACATTCCTTTCCCATTTCTTAGAATCTACAGAAGATAAAGAAAACATATTCTCCAGAAACTGAAGAGTATTGTAAAGAAAACAAAATAATATTCTGTCTGGCACTAACTCTCCAGTGAATTGGGTAAGTCACATATTTTATTAACCCCAAATGATGAGTCCACACTTGGATTTGTCCTTCAAAATTCTTAAGCTGCAATATAGACAGCCATGTTTTGAAACATTTGCAATATCAAAATTAGCAATTTCTCAGCAAACCTGACATGAGACACTTCTGTGCTGCTTTTTAAATTGAGGAACAATAAGGTCAAAATGATGCTCATTCTAGCCATCTCTAAAGCCAGCCCTCTTATTCTTCATTCAATTTGACTATGCAGATAATTTTGTTTCCCCAAGCAGACAAAGCTGCATAATATTAATAGGAAAAATAAGAATAGATGACCAAATATCCAACAAACTGTAGTCATTTGGTTCAGTAATCTACTTTAGTTTATTTCCTGGGTTTTATTTGTAATGGACAAGGCAGCACATAAAATTTAAGCAACAATAAAGCCACTCCCACTGAGTATGGCAGTATGAGCCCTGCTTTTAACATCTGCAGATATTTATAACCCCCATATATAACTTCCTCAAAGGTAAAGTGCTATTAATAAAATCACAATGTGCAAGTGAATAAATATAGTATTGGAGGGGGGAAGCATTTTTCCCCTATGACACAAGGTTACCTCACACTGAACTACAGACACTAGGACCATGATCTAGGAAGTGGGCGTGGAATTCTTGGTCTTAAGAAAGGATCTGAACCTTTGTCCTAAGGCATTTGTGGCCTGTATATCTAGACTGCAGTGCTTTTTTGGAGAGAGGGAGTGATGTTCCTCTTCTGGACAGTGTGAATATGTGTAGTTTTCACATGATACAATTTTATGATGAAATGGATGTCTGTATACGACATGGGAGATAACCCAAATCATTATGGTCACATACTGGTAAAAGATTTTTTCAGGAATATTGTTTCGTTTGGGTTACCATCCTCAAGGTGGGCCCTGGAATTCTCCTGGAATTACAACTGATCTCCAGATTGTAGAGATCAGTTTTCTTGAAGGAAATGGCAGCTGTAGAGGGTGGACTCTATGGGATCACATACTGGGGGGCTGAGCTTCCCCCCAAACTCCATCCTCATCAGGTACCTCCCCCATATATCCAGGAATATTCCAATCCACTATTGCCAGAGTTAGCAACACTAGTTTTGGTCAAAGATCTTTGAAAAGGAATTATCATTGCATGATTAAAATAGCTGAATAATTTCATGAAGCGGTGGTGTACTGCCTGTCTTAAAGAAACATTCCTGACAATTTCAGTTTCTAAGTGAATTTATGTATATATGTTTCATGAAGTATTAAAAACCCTTAAACAATAACATATGACTAAAAATAGATTTCAAACATTTGAGAGACTAGGAAAAATATATTAATTAACTATAGTGAAGTATGTGCCTCCCTGACCTGAATGGCCCAGGTTAACCCAGGCTAACCAATCTCATCAGATCTCAGAAGCTAAGTAGGGTCAAACCTAATTACTATTTGGACAGAATAGCACCAAAGAAGTCTTGCCTTGAAAACCCTATAAAGTCACCATAAGATGGCCATGACTTGACAGCACCTTCTACCACCAAGTATGTACAACATTGAAGATCACTTGGGAAAATCTATGATCTAAAAGGGAGCTAGAAAATAAGCACATTTACTAATCAGCATCTTTTATCTGCACAAGTAGGAGGTATATCAAATTTCATGTGTTGCCCATCTCTGCTCCAGAACTTAAAATATATTCAAGTTCCAAACTGCATAAGGAAGTCTCCAACACTAGTCAGGCCTATAGTACTGGCCCTGGAAACATCAGACAGTGGCTAATCTATGTAGTTCTCCATTGCTTGTGTAGTCTTCCAAGGCCTAAATTTACTGTGCATTTTCTAAAGTAGATATTTGACAAACCGCTGTGTTATTAAAACATAATGGTAGTGCTGGTAATAGGCTAGGAAATGGGGTCAGCTGATCATCCTGTGGTTAACATGCAGACCGAGCTACATTACCATCTTTTATGCTCATATGTAAATGCACCAACTTTTAAAGGCTCCAGTTCCAAACAACTGTACATTTGAATAGAATGTTTCCTTGGCTTTGTTCTTTCTATGCTGTATAAATGTAACATAGTAGTTGGAAATACTCATTTTCATGCATAGTTTCACAGGGGTGTGTGTGTGTGTCTGTACCAATATTGACCATTTCCAGTCTGGCTTTTGCCCTGGCCATGGGACGGAGACGGCTCTGGTTGCCCTTACAAATGACCTCCATAGACATCTGTATTGAGGCAGGTCAGCGCTGCTGTTGCTATTAGATTTAACGGCAGCGTTTGATACGGTCGATTATGATCTTATGACCCACCACCTCACTGACATAGGAGTCCAGGGGACTGTCTTGAAATGGTTTTCCTCCTTTCTCCATGGTTGGGGACAGAGGGTGGCACTGGGCAATATGGTCTCCCCGCGGCACCTGCTAGAATGTGGAGTGCTGTAGGGGGCGATCCTCTTGCCAATGCTATTTAACATCTATATGCACCCCCTCGCCCAGTTAGTCCGGAGTTATGGGCTGGGTTGCCATCAGTATGCTGCTGACGCTCAGCTTTATCTGTTAATGGACGCTCATCCATCCTCCATTCCTAGAAATCTGGCTAAGACTTTGGACGCTGTGGCTGGATGGTTGTGGCAGAGTCGAATGAAGTTAAAACCATTGAAGATGGAGGTCCTGTACCTGGTGGAACATGCTCCCAACTGAGATCAGGGCCCTGTGGGATCTTATTCAATTCTGCAGGGCCTGCAAAATTGAGCTGTTCTGCCAGGTCTTTGGCTGAGGCAGTGGGCATCCACATATGGCCCCCATGAGGCTGCGGTCTCCCACACACGGATAACTGGCCACACCTAGCTACATCAATGGGCTGGATTCTCCCTATAGCAAGCATGATTATTGATTTTATATTTTTTAACGTGTTTTAAATTTTATTGTATTTATCTGTTGTAACCCGCCCTGAGTCCATTTGAGGGATGGGTGGGATATAAATGCAACAAATTAAAAAAAAAATCAGGTTTCTATGACCATTCCATTCAATGGGAATACATTCAAGCAGGATATTAGACTCATACATTAACAGCTCAAAGGGCAACTCTGCCAAGCTAGAAACACACTAGAAAACCACTGCATTCAACACACTAGATTTTACATGGACTCTCATAAATACTGGGTTAATATATTCTTAACAGAGCAGGAGCAAAACCTATATGTTTTCAAAGATTTTTCAATCATTTATGGTACAATTTATTTACCACCTAATGGTTTTATCTGAAAGCAAGAAAAATGCAAACACTCTGTATTTGAAGTTACTATTTAGGCAAGAAACAAGAACTGCTAAAAGGTCACCACATGGTGTCTGTGTTCATTGTGTTGGGTTTTCTTTAAAACCAATAAACATAGTTTTAATTAAAATTTAGAGTTTGAGGGGAAATGGCTAGATGCTGGCAATGCCCTGCTTTCTATATATGCCTTTACCTTATATAGTACTTTAAAATTTGTGTTGGCAGGTATACATTTAAGAAAGCTATTAAAACAACCTCCTTCCTTCAAACGGTGACAGAAGCAACCACAGAATGGCAAATATTTGAGCAACCATGCCCAGCAGAAATGCACATGTAAAAGGAGGCAAGTTTCAGTCCTTTAACTCGTAGTATATTGAAGACTCAATTACCACCACTTCCCCGTCTGGGTTTAATTTTAAATGGTTTTTTAAAAACAAAGCCCCCTGGGATTGTATGATCAAGGAGCAGAGCATCACAGGGGACTTTGACGTTTTCCTACCTACTTTTTTCTCACTGGAAAAACCTCCCCCCCTGCAGTAGCTTTTACCTTGCCGGGGGGGGGGGCAGGTACCCATATGTTTTCTCCAGCACAAATGACACCAAGTTGGGAAACATCCCTGGGTTTCTTTTCAACTTGCTCACCATGCTTAATCCTCTCCACTACAATAAAGAACCGGTATTCACCTAAGGTTTCTAGATTTCTAGAGACTTCGCCATTCTAGAAACTCCATGAAATTGCTGAGTGGTCGGGTTAGAACAGATAAAAGGAAGTACTTCTTCACCCAAAGAGTGATTAACACATGGAATTTACTGCCACAGGAGGTGGTGGCGGCTACAAGCATGGACAGCTTCAAGAGGGAACTAGATAAACATATGGAGCAGAGGTCCACCAGTGGCTATTAGCCACAAAGTATAGATAGGAACTCACAGGCTGGGGCAGGTGATGCACTGTCTTCTTGGTGCTTGGGGGGGGGGCAACAGTGGGAGGGCTTCTACTGTCCTGGCCCCACTGATGGACCTCCTGATGGCACCTGGTATTTTTGGCCACTGTGTGACAGAGTGTTGGACTAGATGAGCCATTGGCCTGAGCCAACATTGGCTTTTCTTATGTTCTTATGTTAATTCATACAATGCTGTTCTCCCCAGTGAAGTAGATCCTGGCATACTTGGACCTTATATAAACACCAGGATTCTCACACATGTGAGGAGCCTTTGGATTGAACATATGGAGATACAGAGCCACTTGTCAGTAAGGGCATTTTGACAGACTGATTATATTTACCTGGATGCATAATGCACCTTTATAACCTAACTTCAAACATGGATTGAAAAATTTGAGCTTTTTATCATGTGGGAACCACTTTTAAAGTATTTTACAAAGTATATTGCTGCTATACCAGCAAAAGCTGCATGACAAAGCAATCCAGATTTGACTCAGATGTGAAAGGGGTTTTCACATGACTAGACAGGAAAGAATCATTTTAATGCTGGCAGCCAACCCTTACCACAGCGGCATGATCCCAGTTCCTGCTGTACCAGCTCCAGTTTTGTTTGGCACTGGAAACACCTGCGTCTGCTCTTCTGTTTGGAACGGCTGATTTCTTCAGGCCTATCATGACTGTCCTTCAGTAACCGTGGCCGCTTCTCAGGTGAAGCCTCACTCTCCGACTGTGAATCTGTTGTATTGGGAAAAATATTTGGAGTATAATGTTAGCTTTTCTTCACTGAGGCCTGTAAATCCCTGTAATCCCAGTCACTGAGTTAATGGTGTGCAACTTGTGTGCACTCACTTGCAAAGCGCAAGTTGCTTCTACTCCCCTGTACACATCTACATCCTTCAATAACTAAAACAGGAGTCAGGTAAGGGATCCATTAGCTATCAGATTCCTTTCTTGTTCACAAAATAAATTAGGTAACTCCTCCAGGTTATGGCTCTGACTTTGCAATGATAAATGGAGAGAACACTAGTCTCAGCAGCTACAAACTTTGGTTTCCATCTCATTTACTTTCTCCCATCCATCTTCACCCCCCTTCCCTCCATGCAAACAAACACCCCCCCCACCCCAATGAAGTTGCTTTTACAAAAACAAACATAAAACTGGCCTATTTCCTGACTAAGCAGGGGAGGGATTTTTAGGGCACAGTGTGCTAGCTGTACCTCCAAGAACCAAAAGCAGTACATGAAAGCACCATACTGTGTCCCTCTCTCTCTTCAAGGATAACAATCTAAATGTAAATTATTATATACAGGCATGATAAACTAAACTGCAACATGTATATACTTGCTGCAGATTCAGAATGCTCCAAGGATCTCTTTAAAACTAGTCATGGCACTTTGTATCTTAATAACCTTATTTGTACTTTTTCCTTCTCAAAGGAAAGTGTTATTGTTCAGGAGAGCAGAGACAGGAAGAGGTTTCTTTATGAAGCTGTGAAATGAAAGGTGCTTCTGGCAAGCCACCTATAAGAAAGGGATTCCCCCCCATGTATTATGTTTGTACAGAATACTAGTGAGTATAAGTACTCTCAAACCTATTATCAATTTCAACAGATTACATAAGCATATTCTCCCAGCAGAGGACAAGTGGTTACAAGTCTTACTTGGAAACACGGTGGGGGAAAAGCAAACAACAAACAAGAAGATGGCATCTTGCTTCTGCCATTACTGAGGCACATCAGCAACTCAAATAACTTCATAGGGCTGGAGGAGCTTCGCTCTGTTTGTATTTGAGCACAGCCCAGCAAGGATTTAGATCAGGATTAAGATATTCTGGATTTATTCTACATACAACACCTAGTATCATTTTACTGGCACACTCTCATTCTGTTTTGTTCATGAGAAGAGAGAGAGTAAACAAAAACATGCATGACACCATCAAAGAACATAACGGTTTCAAGACAAAATTAGCACCTCTTTCCTTCTCAGGGCACTGGGTACATAAAATGTTGCCAACTATACCAAGAGCACTTCCACACAAACAGGGTTGCAGTTAGCCACCCTTCTGTGATCATGTAAGTAAAAATACCTTCAAGACAACTAGAAAGGTGCTCCCAACACACAGTGACTCTTCTAGGTTAAAAACAAACAAGCAAGCAAGCAAGCAAGCAAAGCAGCGACATGTGAAGGATATGAAATAACTTTTTTTCTCCCTGAAAAAAGCAAGATTGGCAAAGTACAGCAGGGGGTGGACATACTACCCTCTACAGAAGTATCTCCCACACTGCATGAGAAATACCTGACTAATGCTGGTTATATTTTGCCAGTCTGGAAATACATTTCTACCAATTTGTTTCTGGGCACAATTCAAAATGCTATTTTGTCTTTTAAAGCCTTCTATAGTTTGGCACCATAGTGTTTTGAATGAATGCTTGTTTTTAATGGAGAGCTGTAATATTATAAATTATATTCAGATTATCTGTGTACTTTCCATGCAAGGTAAGAGGATATTTACCAAAGAGAAGGTCATGAAGAATACAGAAGTGCCATCATGGTTGATAAATGCATATAACAGATTCTCAACCTGAGTGATCTGCTTAAATCAATGAAGGGGCCATTACAGGTTTCCTTCTGTCCCGAGGACGGGACTCCTAGCCCCCCCGGCAGGTGAAGCCCCGGGCCCTACAGAGCCGGAGCAACAGAACGCGGTCCTCCACACACTCACCCGGGCGACGGAAGGAGCAGCGGGGCCCATGGGGGGTTGCGGGGTGAGACGAGACGCCGCACTCCCCGCCCCCCACAGGGGGCCCCCCGGATCAATGAGGCCGGGAAAGACGCCGCCGCAGAAGGCAGGAGCAGGGAGAGGGACAGCAGACGCGGGCAGGGGGATGGCCCTCCAGTCCCCGGCTTTCGACGGGCGCACAGGCAGGCAGGAGGGAGGCCACAACAGGGAAGGAAGGAGCCAGCCAACAGGGAAGGAAGAGAGCACGCCCACGCTGCTGCGAGCGGTGACCGGGAGCGGATGTGAGGGGAGGAGAAGGAGCCGCACCCCAGGAGCAGCGTGGTCGGCTTTGTATGTGGGCAAGGCCAAAGGGGGCGGTCGGCACCGGGGGGAGCGGGGAACACTGGGAACCAGGAGGGAAGGCTATAAGGGAGGGAAAGGAGACAGCCAGGGATGACTCCTGGTTACGAGCAGAAGACGAGAGAGACGAAGCTCCAACCAGCAGGGACGGGTCGGTGGGGACGGTGGAGTAACCTCCCTCCCCCGTCCAGGTATCTGAGGCCTATGCTCCTGGGCAAAGAAGGGGGGGCGTGACAAGGTGGCTGAGCTCGGCAGGGCGGGGAGCTCGAGCGACGAAGACAGCGAAGGGTCGTTGTCGAGCTCCTGTGACACCTTCCATCAGACCTAATAATGCTAGATGCCAAACAGTCCACATACTTATTACACAAAATATAAAGTGGGAAGAGGGTCTTAATTTTGAGCAAATAAAATACATACACAGGACTAGAGGACGGATGCCAGGAACCATGGGCTGCTTTACGTGACTCACCAGGCTTGCATATCCAGTGGGATTTGCGGCACAAAGCTTTTTGTTGTTGCTTAACAGAAGACCCTCCCTCCATGCCATATCTCAAGATATTTTTCAAAGTTTCCCTCAAATATGGGAGGTCTGCTATTTGAAACAAGCTCCCTTGGACACATGAAATTAGTTGCATTGTTCTTTCGTTCAAACAGAACAACGGAAAGATGTGCTCTCTGCACCAAAACAACAAAACAGTGGATAATTACAGGACACAACTCAAGAGCTAAAAAAAACATACACTTCAGGTGCTAACACAAAGATGGTATTCCCAACTGTTAAAAATAAACTTTGCACACCAACACTACACAGCCCAAGTAAGTTATAATAGAACTTGCATAATCTAGCTATCAAGAACAGATACCCCCTTCCAGGTAATGGAATGAATAATTAAATGAGAGTTATCTGCGAACCACCTCAGGAGGTATTGAGGGAAGGGCACAGGGGAAGAATAAATATCTCTACATAACACACTACTTGTAGCTTGCCACAACGTAAGTGTGAACTCAGTACAGGGGCAAGAAATAAGGGCTTCTTTAATGATCTATAGCTCTTTGAATGCAGGTTCTTCTAATTACTCTGCTGGACTGGAAAACAGAGCTGGCTAGTTCAACATAGCAGTATTGTAAATCACAATCTTGAACAGAAACAAACAGAACAATGTTCTTAAAAATGGGTTTGTCCCCAGCTGTATGTAATACTGTCACTGTTCTTGTCTTCATTACTCTACATCCCCCGCCTCCTCAAATTTCCAAATAAATTGTGTTAGGACTGCCAGAGCTGAATTTCAATCTCTCAATCTCCTGCCACAGCAGTTTGCAGCCTGCACATACACGGCTACACTAACAACCACAGAGGAGCCTTCCCTGATGTTTCAAAGAATTGTTTCCCTTGACAGAAATAAGTACTCGGAAGATACAGAAGGGAATTTGTAAATGGAGGGAAAGACGAAAGAAAAGGAAGTACCATGGTGAAAGAAAACTACTCCCCCTCTACTTTTGCTCCAGGAAGAGACTAGCCTGTTTAATCCCCAACATGACAACGGAATTTGTGGCACTCTGTGAGGATTTCTTTAAGAACCTATCACAGCCTGACAAATTGACATTTATGATCCCAGCTGCCTGCAAAAGCATCAGTAAGGGCAATACCTAATGAACCTTAAAACATTACAGGTACAGGTCCTCAGACTATTTTTTAAAGTAGCTTAAGCCTTAAAATCAAATCCAGGAGCAGTTCTCCACAGCAGACATGGCTCACAGACAGAAGTAGTACGGGAAAGAAAGGGAAGAGGAAAAAAAAACCCAATCTGGTTGTCAGAAATGCAGGGTGGCAACAGCCTGGCCTGCCATGAACCCTACAGTACTGGACCATGCAGGGCTGCCAGGGAGGGGATGGAGACCTTTAAATCAAATTAATTCCGCATAAAAAAGAGTTGAGGCAGAAAACTAATTTTGCAAGGGAAAAGTTAATTTAGTTTTTAACCAGGCCTCACCAACAAATTACTCCTAAAGAAAACTATGAGAAATATATAATAATCTGCTACTGATTTACAAGTACCCCAAAGGAAGAGTATCATGATGCTAAATCAATGATATACCAGCCATGACATGATGATTAAAAAGAATACAGAAAGCACTCTACAACTATAAAACTAAACAGAATAAAAAAAGGAAAAGTGTGCAGTAACATTTAGTGGTACCTGAACTCCCCCCCCCCGGCACCACTCATATTGTAAATATGAGTAACTACATCACACTTGTTATACCACCATCACGCATTCAACAATAAGGTTACTCATTCAATATCAAGTTTTTAGATATATTGGTATAGCACTAGCCACAACATAGCTATATATTAATACGTTTCTGAATTAGATATTAAAACATTTGCTATTATTAAATTGTACAGTAAGGAGAGTGTAAAGAATTTGTGCACCAACACTGGCATCACTGTCTATAAGCACAAACTAGAAAATTTAGTTGTGACTTCTGAAGGAAAAGAGCCTCCAGTAGGGCTGCCAGCCCCCCTGGTGGGAGTGGGGGAAACTCCACTTTCACAGGTTTTTGCCCACCACTGGCTAGCTGGCTGGTGGGGGAAAATCCCACCCCAACTGACCTTTTCAGGCCTACTTCTGGTTGGGATTGATGCTCTGGTTTCGGGGCAAAACTCTATGGTTTGAAGCTGAATTTACCAGAGTTTTGCCTAAAATCTAGAGTGTCACCCCCAACCAGAAGTAGGCCCAAAACTGGAAGTAGACCTGAAAATGCCCAACTTCACTTCTGGTCTCCTGGAAGGATGTCAGGATACCACCACTGGCCAGGTAAGTAAACCTGGCAACCATACCCTCTGGTTTTATAATGTAGAAAGGGGAAAGGAGGAAATACTGAAAAAGATACCAATGGGAAGGTGTAACAACATTCTCTATATTTATTATTTTGCAATTTGTGGGTGTTTTATTTCATGACACTGCAATCAGCAACACTGTTCTAGAATTACTAGGGTGGCTGCTATGATGAGGATGAATTTTTTTAAAATCCCTAATATTTACATTATTAACAAACTTTTATTAAGTACATTGGGTATTCACATACTAAAATGTGTTTATTCCTATATTTAGTACTTTGTAAAATTCCTTTACGAATACAGTTAATTGTTTGAGCAAAGCAGAGCCAGTTGCTTGCTAAATATTTTAACGGAGCACTTGGCCAAAAAAAGTGATGAGGAAAAATGATTTAGTTATATTCCATATTGCATCATATTTTCAAATCATCTGAGCTTAAACGGACAGTAGAACACCCCCCCCCCAAAAAAAGGCCAGAGCAACTAAACAGGAGGATTTAGTTTGTAATGGTCTGCATGAACTGGTCAAGTTATAAGCCTCAAAACAACTGGGAAAAATATCTCAGAAGAATGATTGGCAAGTTAATTTGTAGGAAATCTGGACTGTTTGGGAAAATTCTTCTGTGTTGGGTTTTTAATGTAAACCATACAGATTAAAGGAAATTATTATCATTGGAAATTATATATTACAGTCCTCGAGAAAGGAACTCGGATGACTACAATTTACAATTAATATCTTAGCTATTTAGAAAGCCAGAAAACTGTTTGTTCTGCATCTTAAACTAAAACATGTTTTCTGTTTCTAGGAAAGAAAGAGGGTAAAGCCATGCATTCATTGGTTGCAAAGGTCCAACCTTCCATATTCTTTGAGGCTTTTTTTTTTGCCTTGAAAACCTGCAGCACTAGGCTTTTAATACTAGGAGGCATGGGTAATTAAGAGCCTTGATGGTACTCAATTAGTACCTACAGCAATACAAATAGGGGAAAAACCTGCAGTTTCTTCTGGCCATTACAAAATTGATTTTACTACATCCCATTCAGAAGAGACTGCTGGGCATAGTCATGTTACATGTACTAATTCGGCACCCAGAGACTGTTACTTCCAGCAAAAAAAAGAGGTTTATATTCTCATTTCCATGAATCCTCTGGAATACAGTAAATCATGAATATCAGCTTTTGCTGGATGAACTATTGCCCCATATCCTTAGAAGGGCATGGAATTTTAGATAAGGCCCTCCAATGCCCTGGAAACATCATTCCTGC